TTTAAGATGTTCTAAATGATCTTGGGCTTAAATGTTTTCCAGTGTGTATTCAACTTTACAGACTGCAGTTGTCAAAACAGAGCTAGATGTGCAATGTCATGAACTCCAAGGAAATAGTTTTCTCTGTAGTTATTTAATTACATCAAGTCATCTTTGTACATGTTTCCTTTTTAGGGGCAAGAGAAAGATGCTCTGAGCAATTATTACCTATCACATCAGTTTCCGTTTGTCCTCAATGCTCATTTTGAAAAAGTACAACTTTGCAAGACTTTTTAAAGACAGACTTCCTGTTTGTACAGTTGTTGGATGAAGGGTGTTTGCCGGCATGAAAATTTCCTATTCAGAACCCAACTACAAGTGTTGGGGTTGGGTTGAATTGAAAACAACCCAATACTCTCGGGCTTGGGTTGAGTCAGGTAGTCTCTGATCACCTTTTCCTGCCCATGGGATCAGTGCAGTGGCAGTTGTGTGCCTCATTACTGCTGACCACTGTTACCTCCCTGCGCTGTGTGTGCTGCGAAGTGAATGTGCCAACAAGTCACAGCGCACCTCACTCTGTAGCACACGCAATGCAGTTGTGGTATCTGGCAGAAACCAAGCTGCTGATGCCATGGGCAGGAGGGAGCTGAATCTGGATCACAGGCATGATCACAGGGAAGCCCCTGCAGGCTGAGCCCCAATTCTGAGTGGCAGCATTGGTGCTGCCACAGATTTGGGTGGGGGGCGGGGGGGGAGGGGGAATGGCCTGGAGACAGGGGGAAATCAGACTTTCTTCAGGTGTGCAGCTCTGGACTGGGAGAGGGAGTGCCTGGCGTGCAGGGTTGGGAGAGTGAGGCTGGGGGTAATTTGCCCTACTGGCGCCACAGAGGAAACAAAGAAATGGAGTCCAGGCTGGTGGTTAGACCCTTGCAACTTGACCTGAACCTGACAGGACCCAACTACAAGTGTCCGGTTTGGGACAAATATAAAAACCAACCAAGCATGAGCATGTTGGGTTGAGTTTGAACTGTCTGTGCTCTAGTTGGTTTCAGACTGGGCTTTACAATTAGGCCAGAGCAGACCTCTTCTCAAAGCTCCCCGGCCCTGGAAGAAGGGGTGGCTGACAGGAGAGATGGCTTGAGAGCCTTGGTCACCCAGGCACACTCGGAAAGGGGAAAGGCTGGTACTCCTTCCCCCTCTTCCCACTTTTGGCTTCCTGAAAGTTTAAGACCCTTCTTCTTGTGCGCTGCGAAAACATATTGACTTTTTCTTTGGACTATTATAACTCCCCTTGCAAAGGACAGAGACTCTGAATGGCACAGCCAAAGGGATGTGCCACGGGATCCAAGACAGTAGCAGTGCCCATCCTTTACCTATGGGGACACTAAAAGGTGTAGCCTGCTACAAATACTAGAGAATATAGGCGTTCACTTCCCAACCCTGACACTGGGGTAAACTAGAGGGAAATTAAAAGTCCATACACGAGAGAGACAGAGCACCCAAGCAGAATTGGTCCTGAGTAGTGGTATGAGTCACTGACAGAGAGCCAGAGACAACAGGCAACCCAGCAACAGCCATTCCAGTTGCAACAGTGCACCACTCAACAGCTGCAGACAACCCAACAGCAGCAGCTGCTATGCAAGATGGTGAGCCAGCAGAAAGACTTGCAATAAAACCTGCTGTAACCGCTACTGTTGGAGCTAGTCTGGGCAGCCATGGATCTGATGACTGGGGCTGTGAGCCCAGGGCCAGTGTTTCCATCAGTGCCCTTTGTGATGCCAGTAAACCAGGTGCCAGCTCATGCCACGTCTGTAGGCATCAGCTGATCACTGACAAACTCATAACTGGAAATCAAACCATCTCACCTGTATGTTATTCAAAATAGGTATTAGTCTTTTATCAGAATGTATTTAGTGTTTAGACTCTAATGCATATAACAATTTACAAGCATTTCATAATCTCACTTGTAATGTCTGTATTCCATGCCAAGAAAATATGTAAATTTTGCTTATAGCTTTGAAAATGTTTGCTCTAAACTTGTGAACCTAGGTATGGGAATCATCCCCTTCGCCCGTTCAGGAGGGCTGTCAAAATTAAACTGGCAATTAACGAACATCGCAATACAAAGATTGGTGAATGACCCTATCACAGCTTGGAAATGCTACGTTCAAGGGAGCTCGTCTCATGGGCTGGAAGGCTTAAAGATAAAATGGGCAAAAGTAAATTTTTCATCTCTTTGCTGTTTGAACTCTCACTGGGCTAGAGACACTAAAATAAGGCAGAGATCCCCCAGGGATTAGCCTTGGGTCCACCCTGAAAGACATTTTGAATTGAAAGATTACTATGTTTAGGAACCGTAGATGGTAACTCATTTGTGTGTATATGCTTGCTTGCTTTAACCTGTAAATAACTCTCATATTTATTTTTCCTAGTTAATAAACCTTTAGTTAGCTTATTAAGGATTGGTTAGAAGCATTGTCTTTGGTGTGAGAACTGAGATATAAACTGATCTGAGGTATAAACTCATGTGACTGGTTCCCTGGGACTGGAAGTAACCTGGATATTTTGTGATCTTTGGTCCAACTTGCCTGGATGGCAAGATAGACTGGAGAGCCTAGGAGACTGTTACTGGGTTGGTGAAATGTAATTACAGAGCATAGCACAAGTTTGGAGTGTCTGCCCTGAGGTAGGCACTCAATCATGAGCTACTCCATGAAAACTGCCTAGAAACTGCAGAGATGAGGGCAGGGGACAAACTGGGGCTAAGACGCCAACCCAACCTGATATGAAGCCCTGGCAGAAGAGAACACTCTGTTCATCAGGGACAAGTGCCCTCATCTTCAGCATCTCGTGATTTAGAATGACTGACTTTGGATGAGTCACAGCAACAAGCTAGTAAGGGCCTGGACAAAACCTAAAGAGTGTGGTTGGCTCCTGACACCGCTGCGATGAGGGAATAGTGTGAACTTAGATGCCAAACCACTAACAGACAAGGTTGATAGCAGGTGAGAGAATGGGCTCAGACCAAAACATGATTGCCTATTCTCATGTGGGCAGCAAGAGCACTCCCAAAGAGAGTATCCCTTTATGGAATGTGAGTATCCCAAGGTTTGGACAGTGGAAAGCTGTGTGTGGAAGACCAGACCTGCCAAAGTAACGGTCCCTGTATGGATCAATGGGACAGAAGTGCAAAGTTGGTTGAACTCTGTATGTAGCCAGATCCTGGTGCAGACTCCCTTACCTGCGGCAGAAGGGACCCCAGGGGAAATCATCTTCCTACAGTGCATTCACACTCATGTGAAGGCCTATCTCTGCAGATGCCTATGGCTATCTGTAAGATGACATATGGCTCTACCCTCGCTGTTGTCCTATCCTGGGATTAGCAGTACCTGTGGGAAATTATCCATGAGCCAAGAAAATTGGATACAGTGGCTGCTGAACCCAGTTCTAGTACCTGGGGAAGATCCTGAAATGATGGATCTAGCTGAGTTAAGAGAATTAGGCAACCCCCTTTAGGGAAGTTCAAGATTCACAGGTCATACATCCAGGTTGTAGACAGGAGTGGTAGCCAGGGGATTGCTGTTGTCAGATTTAGGGAGCTTTGGCTCATGACACAGATTTTGTCTGGGAGCAAAGAGAAGACCCGGTGCTGAGCAGGGCCTACAACTAAATTGCTGCTGTGAATGACAAGATGGTAGAACCCCAACATTTGTGGATGTTGCCCCAATTTATACTCTGAGGAGAACAACTATATCACGTCGAACATGATAAATGCACGGGGGAGAAGGGTTCCTCGATTGTACCACTGGATGTTTCTGCAACTAGTACATGATATCAATTGTACTGGGCAGGAGAAGACTTGCATAGACTTCTGAAAAGTTAATTCAGTCTCCGTTTGATGCATACCTGATACCATGAGCTGTTGGAACATTTAGGGTCTGCCCCAGGTATATCCGTATTTTAGATCTTATACGCGGATATGCATAGGGAGTGTGCAAGTATTTAAGATTTTTGTCTGTAGTTAAAAATAAAAACTCTGGGTACAATAAAGAGAGATTCCTCTATAGAATTTTAAGAAGGGCGTGACAACTTGGCATACAGTACAAATTCTCTGTCCAGGAGTAAATTTTAGGATTTTTCTACAACTTTACCACAAATACAAAAATCAGACATGATTTTTGTTCTGTTTTCTTTTTCTCTCCACTTCGTGGATTTTAACACTGTTTTACTATTGATGATGGTAAATCACTCCAAAAAAGAAAGTTTTAGAAAATGTATTTGGAAAATGTATTGCAAAATAGTTTCAAATTTCTGTACAGTATTAATGTACACAAATGGCCAGGTCATCAGACAGCAATGAGATGCTATTATCATCCTACACCTCAAGTCCTTGTATTTTTATGAAAACACTAATTAAACTAAATTTAATGACAGTCCATATGTAACAATGTGGTTTCATTTGTTTGTCTATTTGTTTGTTCTTGTAGAATTTAGAATGGCCTTTGACAGACGGTTTATTATTGAAGTGTTAGCTTTAGGGGCTTTTTAAAGAACATTTAAATTGTCAGTTAAAGGTAGTTTTGTTCCATATCGTGCTTTAACAGAAAAGTACAGGTGCATTTTCAATGAGGGTGGGATTACAAAATGAATGAGCAAAAAATAAATTTAAGCTGTTCAAAATTCTAGGCCAGCCTGGTTCTAAGAATAATATTAAAATATGGCTGGTTAAGAATGCCTTGGCTTTTTCATGTCTTGTTCCTGTTCAGACCTCAGACACATTTTTAGACTGTTGGTTTGTTTTCCTCCTCTGATTGATGTTTATGGAAGCAGTTTGAGTTTAACAGGAATCTGAATTCATTTGAACTAAGATTTTTGGTAAACAGAGGAGTGAACTGTGTTCTCAAAATATTTTTCTGTTTATTGAATCAATTTAAAAAAACAAAGGCATAACAGATACATTTGATTAGTTTCTGTACACAAGGATAAATAGCTTTCTAACACATTGTCCTCCTTTCAAATAGGTTGTGAAGATGAGAAAAGAGGTGAAGAAGGCCAGAGTTCTTACCATTCGCAGACTCACCAGACACATTGCAAAACTTAAGTTAAAAAAGTTAGTTTTAATATTAATATTCCTTTAATTTTTTTAAATTTTTAATGCTGCATTTATTTTAAATGACTTACATAAATATTGAATAAACTGTGGGGAAAAATGAGTGTCTACATAACATTATTTAACACACTACACATTTGAGGTGGATAGTAGGGCAGTACATTAACTGGATAGTTAATACTTTTATTAAGAACACTGTTTTTAGAATGGGATTGGTCTTGAACTGTACTTTTATGAATGTGCATTATTAAGTGTGTAAGATGTAGTAAATCTTATTTATAGATTTGTGTCAACATTTTACTTATCTTAATATAGTCTAAGGTAATATGACTCTAAAGACAATTTCCCAAAGCAGACTTGAAGTAAAGTTTTCAGAAGTGCTTAAGTGACTTTCAGCCCAAGTCTCATTTTCAGAACTGGTTTAAACACTTGACCGAAGTAATTTTTAAAATGAGATTTAGACTAAATCACATAAGCATTTTAGAAAAGTTTATCCTTTTATGTTTTAGAACATCACTGTATTACAGAAAGCTTCAGCAGCTTCCTCAGTGCAAAGTTCAAAGGACTTCTGCAAATTTCAGAGCAAGGAGCACTTTTCAATATGCTTTGAACAAATAAGCACTGTAATTGAAACTTTAATGTTTTTAATCAGTCTTAATGTAATTAATCTTTCACATGGGGCAAAGTGATTTGTGACACTTAGTACTGGAGACCAATGGAAGACGACAAATCTACTGTTGTGTTTAAAATGTGAAGAATACAGTTGTTTTTTTTTAGACAGTTCACCCACTGTAGCAAATTATGTAAGATTTTTGGCAGTATCGTGGCCTCCATTACATATTTAAATTTTGTAATGAACATTTAATTTTATTGGAAATTTTACTCAGAAAAGTACCTCTTGCCATCTAAATTTTCAGGATTCTATCTTCAGCTAGCTCACTTTTTTTTTTTTTTGGTATTCTTTAATCCCTATCATCTCTTAAGGTTTGATTATTATATCCTATCTAGGGTCATTCAAAACTTAATCATAATGTACTTACACAAATTTTAGAAGTAAACTTTCAGCCTAATAATCATTCTTGGCCTAGATTCATCTCTTCTCTAGTTTGAGCAACCTTGACTTAGACTGGTGCTAAACAATTTATAATGTTCTCTAGACACTACATTTAATTCAACAGTTCCCATAGAGGATGCAGCAGATTCTTCTGATTTTAAAAAAGTCCTTGCCAAAATGTTGCTATCAGATATATTACTACTTGCCATCACGTTTTTGGAATTGTCATTATATCTCTTCTGCATGCTAATTTCATCTGTAAAAGCTGGGGATGCATTGATGTTTCTGTGTGTCTAGTTGGTTGTTCTGAAAATTTACATTTAACATAAAATAGATGTGAACAGTAAAATAAAATTGTTTATGTTGACTTTTGTGATTTATTTTGCTGCAAATAGTAACTTTCTTGTTGGGAAATGATTGCAAATCAGTGTGTTACCCAGCTAAACACAGCCTTTATCTACAGGGGTTCGGAAGATGTGGTACTTAAGAACCAAAGGCGAGCAGAGAGATTACTAGAAGAAATTCATGCCATGAAGGTAATGTCTTCATATACCTATATTTAATATTTAGTGTCATTTATTTTAGTAACAAAAACCTGGGCCTGTTTTCTTTGCATGATTTCACATTCCTAGGTCTGTTTTGACTGTATATGTAACAGGGTGGAACATTTAAGAATATTTGCATATTCCATGTTTGTTGCTATACCTGTCAAGGTGTTAAACTAATTTGACTGAGACTTGCCAAACTAAACTTGCATCTGTTCAGAAATGCTCCATTGCCTGAAGCTCTCACTGTAACAGTTACAAATATAGGAATTTAAATATTTGTGCTGTTCAGGGGTGTAGATCTGTTGAAATTGAAGTTGCAGTGCACTGATGAGACATTGAATCAGATATATTTTTCCCTTCTTTAGACAGGGTGTTTGTTAGCATAACTTTCAAGTAATTCATTTCTCTAACACTGAGACATGTAATTAAATGTCTGGTTGTCTGTTTTATAACAGAACTTTAAAACCACATTCGACTAATAATTATCCTAATGACAGGTTGACTCCCCCTTTACTCGATTTCATAAAGTCCTCATTTCAAGTACACTGTATGAAGAAAGTGTCTTTCGTAAGCTTGATTTAGAACTCTGGAATCTTGGAGCAATTGCATTCTTGTTGCTCCTGTTCATCATTTCCAGAGCAACACTCAAGCATCATCTTTGCATAGAAAAAGTCTAGGGGGGTTGAGCCCCAGTCTGAGGGACTTCTCTCCTCAGCAGTGTAATGAGTTTTGAATTTCTGCATGGAGACCCTCTGCCTATTCATCTCTCTGGAAATTATCGACATTCAATTGGATTAAAAAATAGCATGCCTTTTTGTACTGATTCTTTCTCCATTTCTGGGATCTGCATCTCATTATTGACCAACAATTAAATAATTTCAGTCTAGCCACTGTTATCCTGAATTTTTTTTCCCTTCCCTTTCTGCTGGTGGCATGTGTGACTGGAAGACATCTTAGTGCTTAATTACCTGGGAGATCTGCTGATCAGCGCTGTCTCCATTTAACACAATGAGAGTTGTAAATGCTCAGCCCTTTTCAGGATCAGACCTTTAACATAAGGAAAGCTTCAGTAACTAGGCCTGGAAAGTGAATTTTCCCAAATGTGTTTTCATGGTATGTGTATTATACATGTGTGTTAAAAATTTCCATCCAAATGTACATTTTGTGTGCCCCATTTCTCTGCTTTGCATAACCAAACTAGTTTGGTGGAGGGGGTATTTTAGTTTTTCATATAATTTTAAGAGAATTAAAGTTGCATGCCAGCATGCAAAAGTCCTAATATGGCCATATTAGGCCTGAACTTTGTCGTTGTATGTGTTAGACAGTAGTTCTTCTTAAACCTTTTCTGTACCTGGACCTCTTTCCCCTTCCCCTGCATCCACTCTTCTATCTAGCCAGGACCACCCAACCCCTCTCCCCTCCAATTTAACTACATGGGAAGGGTAGAGTAGTTGCAACACTTTGACACCAGATTATGTGCTAATTTTATTTCTCAGCTAATACAATAGCAGACAATGAACTAATTTTACAGCCAGTATACCATGTTGGAGGATAATGTTATCCCATACCTAAAGAACAGCAAATATTGTGCCATGTTAGAGTCTTAATTTTTTTAAAAATCATATATAAATAGTCAGAGGCAAATAATGGTGAGTATGTTGAAACCCAAGGATATTTTGCCACTTGTAGATAGGAAGAGCTTTTTTCATTTACAGCAAATTTGTTCATAGAGTAAGTTATATGACTGTGGTTTGGAACAGCATTTGTTATTGATGCTTATGCATCTTGGGGTTTTTTTGGTAATGCAGGAGAATTAAAGGACAAGTAATCGCTTTAAATAACAGTGAAACGTGTTTAGAGTCATTGCATTTCTCAAGCACAGGAATTAGGAATGTGTTTTATGTGGGAGATGACAGTGGTTAAAAATTCCAGCTACGTGGATGCAAGAACTGGATTAATTGTTTGCAGGAGTTTTCAGAGCTATTGGAATAGAACAGTGTTTTTGGACTCTTCTGACTTCATTTCACCAGAACTGAATAAAACATTTATTTTAACGTTTCTCAAAAGAAGGGAAAAAAAAGAAAAGAACAGTATGATCCTTGGTAGCCTTTCCTATAAGCGATTTACTTTATATAAATAAAAAAATGACAAACTGGAAAGATAGGTATATTTTTAAAAGTCTTTGCCTTGTTTGAAGGTATTTTCCAAATGGATTATGGTTTGACTTTGCAGAGTTTTTTATCCTGTTTTTGAAAAAGTGTAATATTTAATAATCTAGCTTTCTTTACACGCTATACTGTCTAAATGTTAAACTAATCAGAAAATAGCCTCTCAATTTTTAAAACTTTTTAACAGAAATTAGTACTTAGTGTCCAAGATTTAACATACCTGATTAAAAAAAAAAAGTAAAACAATCACAGTTGCACATTGTGTGATTTGCATTATTAGCTATTTACTATCATTGATTGACTGTGCCCCTTTTAAAAAAAAAGGCACTCTTTTTTTAAAACTGATTTTGTTTTCTTATCCCAAACTTATCTGATAGAGAATCTCTGTAGTGGAATTATAAAGGAAGGGTAAAGCCCTCCCCATGATCAATAAAGGGAAATGTGTGGGTTCCACTTGCTGGTAGTGAGCAGCAGTTAACTGACCAGTTCTACTAACAGAGCAAGAAGATGGCACACAATAGAAATTTAGCCCTTTCAATTTTTTCAAAATATTGTTGGAAGCCAGTGAAGCAATATAATCTCTTTATCTAGTATCCTTCATACACAGTGTGAGAATCCTCTAGGGACTCAATTATAGGCTAAAAAGGAAGGTTTTAAGATGAGATTTAAAGAAAGGAAAAAACTTAGGCTAGGTCCACACTACCCGCCTGATTCGGCGGGTAGAGATCGATCTTCTGGAATCGATTTATCGCATCTCATCTGGACGCGATAAATGGATCCCAGAAGCGCTCCCCCGTCGACTGCGGAACTCCTGCTCGCCGAGAGGAGGAAGCGCTGTCGACGGGGGAGCTTGCCTGCGCCGCGTGGACCCGCAGTAAGTAAACTTAGTTCGATCTAGGAAACGTCAACTTCAGCTACGCTATTCTCGTAACTGAAGTTGCGTTTCCTAGATCGATCCCCCGCCCCAGTGTGGACCAAGCCTTAGGGCGTGTGTGCTCAGCAGAGAAATTAAAGAATGAGTATATGAACAAAGGCAAGGTCAAGAGAGGTATGAGCTGTAGTAATGCTCTGAAGGTTATGAATACCAGATTTGTAGGTAAAGTTGTTTGAGGGGATAACATGAGGCTCCAGGATGATTTTAAGAGCATGGGCCTTGAGAAGAAAATTAAGATCTAAATTTGTGAAAGCCATAGTGCAGTCAATGACATGAGGAAGGAAAGGCCTGGAGGAAAGCTGCAGTTTTTGGAAATGTTCCATTATAGGAAGATACTATTTATGCAGAGAGTTATTCAAAGTAGGTAGGCAGAGAGAAGATGATGGGAAATAAAGATGGAGTTAGTGGTTTTCCACACAGAAGTGATGTCTAAAGCTGACGCTGACTACGAGCTAGAGGTTCCAAGGGAAAAGGGGACAAAAAATAAATATGAGGGAAAATGGGAGACTTGTAGACTTTAAACCAAAAGAGTGCTAAACACATTCTCTTCTTGCAATAGAAAATCACACTTAGATTCAGTGAAGTAAGAAGTGATCAGAAGCAAGGTTTAGGTCATTAACTCATCTAATATACGGAAATCTCAGAAGCATTACAAGTCTGCTCATTGCATTGTTTTCTTGGGTTTGGTGTTTTTGTTTTTCTTTATTGATTTTTTTTTTTAAATAGATTTCTTTTCTAAAAGACTTATAATGTGAATTCTTGTCAAGTAGCTACTTTTTTGTTTGATCCTTTCAGCTTCTGTAGCCTAGGTTTCAGTCAACATCCCACTGTAAATAATTGTATTAGGCAAGAGCAGTGACTAATATTCCTTGTTGCTGTTTTGCTATATTTTTCTTTTGTCTCACAGCATATGTTTCCAACAAAAATGTGCTATATATTTTGCTTCATATTAGGCATTGCAACATTCATAAAGTTAGTATGAAAGAATATTTTTAAGGCTTTTGAAAGAAGAGTGTGAAGATTTAGAGCCAGGATGCTTTCAAAGGTTCATCTATATCTGAAGGTATAGAACATTAAAAGTGTATTAGGAACTCCTAATATGACATCAATGTGTATAAGTTAAACTGCTTTGAACACCTGTATGGACACAGGCCTTAGGAGAATTAAGTTACAGCGAAGTAAGGCCATTTTACTCCTGAAAGAGAGCATCCATAATGGGATTTAACACACTTTAAGTTAATGTCCATTAACTTCACATCTTTAGGTGATTTACCTTAACTTTCCTCAGTATCCCTATTCAGTGTTTCTCAAATGTGGCTTTTTGTGCAGCCCCAGGCTACTGGGCCTTGCCTCCCTCTGGAACCGCAATCACCAGAGAAGCAGGCAGCCAGTGTAAGTTCCCCACTTTCCTGGGGGCAGTGGGGATTGGACTTCTGGCTTCAGCCCTAGGGTGAGGGATGTTGGGCTCCGTCCCCCAGCCGCAGGGTTTCAGGCTCCGGTTGCAGGGCCATGGACTCCAGCCCCAGTCCCCAGCCATGCAACATTGGGTGCCGGCCCCACACTCACCCACACACTTCTCCCCCCAACCCCCCCATCGCTCTGGATCCCCACTGTGTTGTCCAGCCCCAGGCTTCAGTCATGCGGGTGCAGGGCTCCGGTCCCCAGGCTCTGGCTTCACCACCCCATTTCCCTGGCCCCCCGCTGCCTTGCTCAGCCCCCCATACATCCTGCCATCATCCCTGATCCCCATTGCCTCCCTACCCACCTCCCCATGCAGGGCTTAATTTTTGTCCTAGCTTACCAGAGCTGAGTAAGTCTGTTGTGAAAAGTGATATTTGTTAATATCACTTTTTGCTGCCGCCCAGCTAGCTAGCAAGTTTGCTACT